ATTATACTTATTATAATTACATTATGTTTGGTACATATCTTTTTTGACCGCATTGGATATTCAGTACGAATTAAGCGATCGAGTGCCACCGTCACCATCCAATAAGTACTCATTGCACGACTGATATTCTGTATATAATATGATAATCGACATTGCATAAAAGTATTTGCATACATAGCAATACTGTAGAGAGTGAGATAGTCTGATGCTAATGTCCATAAATGAATAAAGTTTGATATTGTTATTAACATAAATAATAGGCCAGTTGAGATTTTTCGAAATTCATCTTGTGTGCAAAATACTATCAATGATAGAAGATTCCCAACAAAACCAAGTCCATAACTATGTATTAAAAAGAAAATTATTAAAGAAAAAAATGAAATATGAAGTTAGATTTACTTACGCAAAGCATGCACAACCCGTTGTAATCCAAATTCCAAGTTGTAATGAAGGAGCTGTAGCCAGTATTGATGTATTCTGTGTTGTGAAGTTAGAAGTCATGTTCATTGTTGAGTAGTATAAGAAAGAAGAAATAAAGAAAACAGTAGCTTTATAAGGAGGTATTATAATAATTATATAATTACACACATGACGTTATGAATATGCCACATTTATGAAAAGTAGAATAATGAAGAATAATTGTGTTATAATACGCATGAAAATATATTGCAATTATTTAATATACTAGATTATTGTGCACGACGTATGTTTATTTTTCTGTAAAAGACTAATTGCACAGCTTCAATAGATTTTTTCCTTTAAAAATATATGCTTGAATACATTCATCTCGATATAACTGAAACAAAAACATGAAAAATGTCGAAAAATACAAATCTACATCGCAAAACTGCTTTTACTATACACCACGTTTTTCATGTAATTTATTCGTATGTTTGTGTTATACTATCATTTGAAATATCACTGAACTTTAACATATTGCAAACGAATTTATTATGAAAATGAAAAGTTTATTTATAAAAGCAAATTAATTAAAGAAGAATTACAATGATAGTCTTGTGGCAAAATTTATTCCTTCCGTCTATAAGTTTAAGAGACGATAAGTTTCATCAAAAATTTTTTTTAATACATAAAAGGAAAGATTACAAATAATTCTACAGGTTAACGCTTTTAGACAACATATATTAGAAGTGTAAGAATTCAGTTTCTGTTCATCTAATGCTTTTTGATCTATTTGTTATTGTTTCAGATATTCTTTGAAGACAAATAGCTTTCTTCAACATTTTAATAAATTTTTGACGAAATAATGGTGATGCTAAGCAATAAAAATAAAATGCAATACCAAAATAGACGCTTGACCAAATTAAAAGTACTGCACGTATAAATGTTGAAGTATTTGAGTCTAATCCTTTCACACTACCTTTTACACAGAGAAAAAGATGATATGGGACTTGTGTGGTAATAAATGTAATTGCATTAGCTAACATCATATAGAACAACATTCGATCGAGTGCTGACATTCGACGCGTATGCGTTCCCGTAGAGCTTGATATATTAGGTACTGGAATATTCATATCTGATGAAGGTACTGTTGTAGCATTTGTTACACGTCTTCTTGATTGACGAATATTTAATATCATGCGTATATTTGCTGAAATCATAAGCATTACTGGAATAAGACAAACTAGTACAGCTCGCACAGGTAAATAAACAGTATTAGAAAAATAAGCAAGCGATTGTGACTGAGTAAAAGAGCAGGAACCTGATATGAACTTTAGATTGCCTACTGGTACGAGATAAAAAGACCAAAATGCAGCAAAAATAATAAAATAAATTATACTTATTATAATTACATTATGTTTAGTGCATATCTTTTTTGAACGCATTGGATATTCAGTACGAATTAAGCGATCGAGTGCCACAGTAACCATCCAATACGTACTCAATGCACGACTAATATTTTGTATATAATATGAATATCGACATTGCATATAATTATTTGGGTACAGCGCATAATTGTACACAGTTAGATAATCTGAAGCTAATGTCCATAAATGTATAAAGTTTGATATTGTTATTAACATAAATAGTAGACCAGTTGAAATTTTTCGAAATTCATCTTGTGTGCAAAATACTATTAATGATAAAACATTACCAACAAAACCAAGTCCATAGCTATTTATAAAAAAGAAAAATGTTCAAGAAAAAAATGAAACATGAAGTTAGATTTATTTACGCAAAGCATGCACAACCTGTTGTAATCCAAATACCAAGTCTTAAAGATGGAGCTGTATCAAATATTGATGTAGACTGTGTTGTGAAGTTAGATGTTATTGGATCAGATGTCATGTTCATTGTTGAGTAGCGTAAGAAAGAAGAAATAAAGAAAACATCAGCTTTATAGAAAGTTATTAAAGTAATTATATAATTATACATATGACGTTATCGATATGTGACATTTATGAAAAGTAGAGTAATGAAGAATAATTGTGTTATAACACGGATAAAAATCCATTCTAATTATTTAATATACTACATTATTACGCACGACTTATGTTAAAATTTTGTATATATACTAATTCTTTATAAAATGAATTGATTCATGTTGGAATAAATCAGATAAAAACATCAAATATGTAGAAGAATAGAAATCTTCATTACAAAATAACTTTCATTATACATCATGTTTTTCATTTAATTCATTCGTATGTCTGAAAATAATATATCCAGTAGACAAAACCAAAAATGAACAAAGAATAGAAAATATAAATAAATACATTCTTATTGATTTCATTATATTTTGACTTGCACGAAATAATTTAATCAACAACCAGTAGAACTAAAGTCATACATAAAGGAACGAAACAGGAATGCAGAAAAAATAGAGATTTAAGTTTACATACGTAATATATAATGCTACGATTTCAAGTCAGATGAAAATAACATGAAAGATACTTTTTCAAACAAAGAAGAATACACTGAACAGTATTCACTAAAATATCTTTGAACCATAATATTAATATAAATGTATACTGTATACTCTTATAAATATTATATAACACTTAGTATATCCTTTACATTCTGCTGAAATTGGAATAGAATTCAGTATAACATCAGTAAATAATATATATAGATTTGTAACAACTGTGAAAGTTTTGAAAAATGTCTCATTATTATTATATCTACATACACAGCTTACTATATCATGGAATACATACAAAGATAATAGTAGAATTCTCAAATAAGATTTTTTTGAGTTAATTAACAGACATGATTTATACAATAGAGTAATGAGTAGAAACCTCTTGAAGAATATGATTGTTTCTGTGAATTGGAAGCACGTTCTTTTATATAACTAATATTATGGTATATTTATAAACAAAAAAATAAGCATATTCAAATACTACTTATGCAGTCATGGATAAGAGGGGATGATTTTAAAAGATATTATGTAAGTAATTAAATAGTTTGAAAGTTCTCTTATAAATTACTATGCGAGACATAATCGATTAATAATTATCAAGTAAAATTTATTACCGAGAGATGTTCATCAATATTAAGTACGACAAAAAAACAGAATACAAATAATAGAAGATTTTTTTCCCGAAAAGATAATTAAAACAATTTGTGGCTTCTTAATGATATAAAAAAAACAATATACCTGAATTATCGTCAAGAGGCATTTCAAAAAAGAATGACGTAGGTCAAATTTATTTTTATATTTACTAAGCTGGATATGAGATTTATTCTTGAAGAGATAATCTCTAATATAGTATAGGAGACTTAATAATAAAATAGATATATATAATTCATGTTTTGATTTGCTGCATATCTATATTATGGCAATGTATATAAAAACTGTTCACTTATAAGATACAACATTTATCACAATTTTTCTATTTATGAAGGAACGAACATAGATCGAGTTAGTCTAGTTTTAGAAGACTTGAAAATTTCTATCGTATAGTATACAATTATAAATATGAAATGAGTGTGTAACCAAAAAAAAAAGAATAGAACTGAAATTAATAGGATCTTCCAGGTCTTTGTCTCATATTTATTATCTCACACGATATAGGACTTGATATTAAGGTCAGAGTATACTCTGAATGTTTTTCAGCTGCATCACATACATACAAGTAATTATATATATTTATATTCATTAAAATAATTTGAAAATACAACATAATTAAATCATATATATGAAAGAAAAATATAGATATAATAGTGTTAGTTATTGTTTACAGTTCTCTTGCTGGACGATGTCTAAGACAACCAATGATTTTTCGAGTAATTGTTATAAATTTTTGTCGAAAGATTGGTGCTGCAAAACAATAAAGATAAAATGCAATACCAAAATAAATACTTGACCATATTAAAAGCATTGCTCGAACTAATGAATGAGTAAATGGATCCAATGCTGCATAATAATTTCGAACTAATGTATAAATATGAAATGGAATTTGTGTAATAATGAATGTACCAATATTAGCCACCATCATATAAAAAAGCATTCGATCTAATGATGTCATTCGTCGTGTAATTGGTTTATTCATAGAGGTTGGTGTAACTGCAGTAAGAGTTGTATTCATTTCTGTTTGATGTGCAACACGTCGATGCGATTGACGCATATTATTTAACATACGTATATTAGCTGTAATCATAATAATGATTGGAATAATCAGTACTATTACAAATCGAACAGGTACTTGAACTTGGGTTAAATAAAAGTAGAATGTTGGAGATTGATTGTAAATACACTTGCCAGTTATTGGATCTTTAGTGATTGTAGGACAAAGCCAAAGTGACCAAAGTATTGAAAAAATAATGAAATTAACAATAGTATATATAATAGCATTTCGACGTGTACAAATTGTTCTTGATCGTAGTGGTAATTCTGAACGAATGAATCGATCAAGTGCAATACCAATAGCTAAATAAGTACTCATTGCTCGACTAACATTTTGGACAAAAAAATTTAATCTGCATTGTAGAAAACCACCAGAATAGATATATACATTATAAACACCAAGAAATTCTGTTGT